AAACTTGATCCAAAATCAAAGAAATGTACTTTCCTTGGTTATGGTGAAGATGAGTTTGGCTACCGCATATGGGACGATGAAAACAAAAAGATGATCCGCAGCAGAGACGTAATCTTCAATGAAAGAGTGATGTACAAGGACAAGCATAATACAAGTGCCAGCAACTCGAAGCGAGTGGGCCAGCTTTATGCAGAGGTGGAAGATATCCCAGAAAGTCCTATAATGAGGAGTCCTCGACCAGAGGAATCAGTTGAAGAACTTGATGTGCAAGCAGTAACCTCCTACTCCAACTCCCGTATTGAGAAGGTCTTCTCGGCCTCATGTGCCTAATAGGAGATACATGGACTATATGTTGTTGATCGATGGAGGGAGCCTGAAGATTATACGGAAGCTTGTCAAGCCACGGATGCTAGCAAGTGGGAGCTTGCCATGAAAGACGAGATGAAGTCTTTAATCTCAAATCAGACATGGGAACTAGTCAAGTTACCTATGGGAAAGAAAGCACTTCACAACAAATGGGTGTATCGAGTGAAGGAAGACCATGATGGTTCTAAGAGATACAAAGCTCGACTGGTCGTCAAAGGATTTCAGCAGAAAGAAGGAGTCGACTACACTGAAATCTTTGCTCCAGTTGTAAAGCTCAATACTATCAGGACTGTGTTAAGTATTGTGACTAGTGAGGAGCTCTACCTAGAGCAATTAGATGTGAAGACCGCATTTCTTCATGGAGATTTAGATGAGGAGATCTACATGCACCAGCCTGAAGGTTTTTCAGAAGGAAAGAAGAACTTGGTGTGCAGATTGAAAAAGAGCTTGTATGGCCTGAAACAAGCTCCAAGACAGTGGTATAAGAAGTTCGAAAGCTTCATGCACAAGGAGAGTTTTCAGAAGTGCAACGCTGATCACTGTTGTTTCTTCAAGAGGTATAAGTCCAGTTATATCATTTTGCTACTTTATGTTGATGATATGCTAGTAGCAGGTTCAGATATGAATGAGATCATAAACTTAAAGAAGCAGTTGTCAAAAGAATTTGACATGAAGGACTTAGGCCCAGCAAAGAAGATTCTTGGAATGCAAATCACGAGAGATAAGCAAAAAGGAGTTTTGCAGTTATCTCAAGCGGAGTACATCAACCGTGTTTTGCAGAGATTCAACATGGACAATGCCAAACCAGTCAATACACCTTTGGCTTGCCATTTTCGTCTATCCAAGGATCAGTCTCCTCAAACAAAGGAAGAAGAAGAGTTAATGGCTAAGATTCCGTATGCTTCAGCCATTGGAAGTTTGATGTACGCGATGGTCTGTACGAGGCCAGACATTGGCCATGCAGTGGGAGTTGTAAGCAGATTCATGTCAAATCCAGGAAAAGCTCATTGGGAAGCAGTCAAATGGATTCTAAGGTATCTACGAGGCACAACAGAAAAATGTCTGTATTTTAGAAAGGGAGATCTAAAATTGCAGGGCTACGTAGATGCAGACTTTGGAGGTGAAGTTGATCACCGAAGAAGCACCACTGGGTATGTGTTTACTGTTGGAACTACAGCTGTTAGTTGGATGTCGCGGATACAGAAGATTGTTGCTTTATCCACTACAGAGGCTGAGTATGTAGCAGTGACAGAAGCCAGTAAAGAATTGATATGGCTTCAAGGATTGTTGGCAGAGTTGGGATTCATTCAAAAAAGGAGTGTTTTGCACAGTGATAGTCAGAGTGCAATACATCTGGCAAAAAATTCAGCATTTCACTCCAGAACCAAACACATCGACATACGTTATCATTTCATCAGATCTCTACTTGAGGATGAGATGCTAACATTGAAGAAAATTGTGGGAAGTAAGAACCCAGCAGATATGCTAACAAAGGTGGTGACTATTGACAAACTGAAGTTGTGCTCAACTTCAGTTAGCTTACAAGGATAACAGACAAGAGAAGACTACTATTGATCAAGGTGTGAGGACAGATTGAAATCGGTCCTCAAGTGGGAGATTGTTAGTCAAAGAAAGTGGCTGCCAAATTCTTCAATTCTGGCTGCCAAATTTTTAAAGCGAGCATGAGGTGCCCACGAGGCATTTTTTTATGGTAATGCACAGTACCAATTTTTGCTATAAATTGGTCTTCTCCCTGCAAGCAAATGCATCCCATCCCACACAAAATACTACTTCTCTTAGAGAAGAAAGAGTGGCACCAGTGAGAGGCAGAAAAACTAGAGAGTTTTAGTTTAGCTTCTGGGTGTAATTGGGTTGTGAGTTGTGAGTGTTTTGGGAGTGTTTTGTAAACACTTGTGTATTTTTCTTTTCTCCTAGTAAGAGATCTGTAGTAGTCCGGAGACGTAGGCATTATTGGCCGAACTCCGTTATCAACTTGTGTGTGCAATTATTCCGCTTTTATTTCACTTTCACAGATCTGACCATATGGGAAGATTCCGCATATTTTTCCCAACAGATCACGTGCAAGAAGAGATCAACGTCTTCTGAAAGGTGTCTATACATATTTTGGAGTAACTTAGGACTTACAGCTAACCAAAGCAACTCGAAGTTAGTTCCAGATTCAATTCATAAGTGATTCAGTTAACTTAAAATAAATGAGCTCAACTCAAGTTAAGCATGGTTTGATTCAATCTATTTATAAACTGGCTATATATATATAATCAAATTCATATAACACAGTTCATATTAGTTTTAGTTTTGTATGCAAAATTTGATTTAAGCTATATTAATTCTTATAAAATTGAGGCGAGTTGTTAAATTGAACTCTACTCATTTTCAACCTTAACAGTCTCTGCTTTCACTAGACTCACAATGTTAGTGACTGGTTAAATTACTGTACTGCAGTGTGCAGGTTAAAGGATGAAACTAATTTATCAAGTTTGAGCTATTTGCACTATCGACTCTGGTAGCCAAGTTAAGGAATCCAAGTTTGTTTATGTAGCACGTTCATTGTAAGTTATGAAAAGTGTGATGTTTCTAAGTCATGAAGTTATGTAATATATGTTTTTGTCTTGTGTGTTTATTTTCCTTGTCTCTTCCACTCTCTTTGCCTGGTTTATTGCGATGCCATACACCAACAAATAACAAGCAAATCACTGCATGTTGTTATCTTTGACTGGATTTATACGCATGTTATATCTCAATTTAAGTCTAACATATGCTTGTTCCATCATGGCTACATGCTTTTTATTACAAGCTTCTTAATAAACTCTCATCTCAGCATGCAAACTATACCTTTTATGGGATACACATAGCTTACAGGCTAATTCTCATCACTCTAAACAAAACAAATATAAAAGAAGGAAAACTATTAGTTGAGAAACTAAACAATCCACATATTCTATTCAACCCATTTAAGTTAGACTTCTTTAATAATCTTCAACTATATTTACAGAAAGTAAAATGTATTTTATCCTAAGGTTAAATATGTAATTAATCACAAAAATAGCTCTTTTTATTTTAAAATAAAATCTATTTTTGTATTTTAAATTTTTTTATAAATATCAGATGTAAATGGTACTTTTGTATGCAAAAAGTCGTACTTTTTTTTTAATCTCTTGTTTATAAAAATAAGTGCTACAAATAATACCTTTTCTTATAAAAAAAACACTTTAAAAAGAGTTTGTTCTTACTAAAAAGATAATTGAGATTACAAACATAATTAAAAATAGTTAGTTATGCTTGTGATTACGATATTTACCTAGTTACTACGAAGGAGATTATGAAATATATGCTTTCAACTTTTCGTTACCACCTAGGCATCGACCTCCAAAGTAAATAAAAAAAAAATCCTTAGAAATAAATACAAATTGGCAACGACCTCCAAAGTAGGAATTGAGTACCGAAATTTTTAGGACTATCGATCTCAATTCTTAATAATACAACTCATTATTTCTTATTTACAGGGCAATAACGAGGACGCAATTATGTCCTCAATTATACCTATATACTAATCAAATAATAAAAAAACATAACAGATTTTCTTTTGGTTTCACTTTATGGCCAATGGATCTGTGTTTGCTTGGCATCATTTTTATTTTTGGAATAAAATAAAATACCATTAAGAAAAAAGAAAAAATTATACTAGTTAACTATATAAGTATATTTATATATAACAAATTTGATGTTTATGTGTTATGTTTCACATAATATTATATCAAGAAGATATGGTGATTAAGGACAAATCCTGAAATTAAGGGGACAAATTCTTAAAAGTGAAAAAGTAGAGCAAGACATACTCACTTCATGTTCTCACCCTACATTAAGTAACTTAAAACCCCTCTAGACAAGTGTAATATGGATGATGCATTGTTGCATTCTGAATCTCACATTTAAGAATTTAACTTGTATACATCATTCAAATGGAAAAATGATTTCAAAAAAAATACTGAGAGACTAATTAAGTAATTATAACTAACAAAAATTGTTTGCAATTTGACAGTTCAATCTTGCATTATAACCCTACATAGTAGCAGTGTCTCCTTATTCAACCACTTTTCTGAAAAATAATAATAAAAAGGAGAATTGAATAAGCAAAGCCCAGTTTTGTTGGTGAGTGAGCATGATGTTATTGTAATTTGTATAAAGGTAGGGCAGGTATGTGCACATGTCCCTAATAATGTCCCTTACACAAAATCAAACAACAAACACTTGTTTATTATAATTATTGAAAATATGGTCACATTTTTTTTTTCTGCATGATAAAAAAAAAAGGTCCTAAAATAAGAATGAATAATAACAGCTATTTTTATAAAACAAAATCATTATAATTATAAAGAAAAATGTGTATACTAAAAATAGCTAATAAATGAGTATATTAGTTTTATTGGGTTTGAGACAATCTCTATCTTCTTTGTCTTGGATTCTCTTTCTCTCTCCTTTGCCTCTGGAACAGTTGTAACTCTGAGTCTGTGAGCATTGAGAATTTCTGTCAAAACCTCCATTTTCAATTTCAAAATCTGAAGTTTTTTTAACAAATTATCATACCCAACAGAATTGAGGGAGAGAATTGAAGAATGGGTGGAGACAGTGGTTTGAAATCGAGGGAAGTATCAGCGATGATAAAGCAGGGTTTCATACCCGACCCCACGCTCTCCTTCTCCCCTTCCAGAACCTTCTCTCCCCCACCCTCCTCAACTCGCCCGAGTCAAACTCACTCTCAGACTCATCCCAACACGCAAACGCTCTTCGACATGATGTCGGACGAGCACAAATTCTCCGACGACAAGCGCCGCAAGGCGCAAGATCGGCTCTCCAAGCTCCTCCACGAACCCGCCTTGAGCGCTGGCGGCGACGTTCGGCTCACGGTGGTCGGGCGGGACGGCCTGAGAGTGTCGATGGAGGTTCGGAAGAGCGTTCTGGCCGACAAGAGCCGGTTCTTCGCGGAGAAGCTTCAGTGCGACAGTGCCGTATCCCACTCGGTGGAGATCAGCGACTGCGACGACGTGGAAGTGTATGTGGAAGCTGTGGTTTTGATGCACTGCGAAGATCTCAAGGCCAGGTTGCGCTCCATGGGCGAAGGGGTTCCTAAAATTCTGAGCTTGCTCAAGGTATGATGAAAAGTTCCACACTTGTATTATGCATGTTAGAGTAAACAGTCTAATTTAGTTAACTTTGGATAAACTTTTAGATAAATAAATAATTAAGTTATACATAATTAACTTACATGATTAAAATCAGCTTTTGGAGAAGTTAAAGGAATGAATGTTTAAGGTGGAACGTTCCCCTACTGATTCATTCTTCTTTCATTTTTGTAAGTGTTTTTCTGAAAAATTGATTCAAACTGGCCTTAATTAATGTGAGTTTATCACTTCTGGAAGCTGAATAAAATAAAGGATAAGTATGTTTGAAGGAAACTTCTATGTGAACACTTATAAGTTGAGAGAAATAAGAAGATTAACTTCTTCATAAATTAAAATTAAATTATGCATGAATTAAAAATAAGATATTGGAGAACTAATAAGAAATTATTTTTATTAATTAGTTCACGTCTAAACTGATTTTAAATTCTCTAACAAAGGTTTTTATGGAAAAGTTTCTTCAAAAAAGCCCTGAGTTGAAAAGAGTTTCATAGTTTAGGGGCTTTAATGATGAGCTAAAGTCAAGTAAATTTTGTTGTTTTGTAAGATATTGTAGATGCGTCAACTTGTTTTGTACACAATTTGGGTTGTGGCTAATTATGTTTTGGAGGGACTAACTACCGGTGTTATGATGTAGTGTTTGGAGATTGGTTATTTATTCCACTTTCCACATCTTAATTAAACCACATTAATGCTTAGTTGGTCCTTTTGGTGAAGTTAATCTCACACTGGTCCTTTAATGTTTGATAATGCATACTTTACCAACTTGCACAGCTTGCTTATGGATGAAATTTTATACACTATTGAATCTTAACTATAACCACTTTAGCGTTTTATTGATTTGTACATTCTTTTTTCTTTCTCTTGAATGAAATTGGTTAATTATGTTCATATTTTTACTTACCTTCCTTTGTAGGTATCAGCAGCTATCATGTTTGATCTTGGGGTTGTGTCATGCCTGGAATATTTGGAATCTACTCCATGGACAGAGGATGAACAGGAGGAAGTGATATCTCAGCTAGAACATCTGCAGATTCATGACTCTGCAACTGAAGTTCTTCATAGGGTATCATCTGATCCATCTACGGCTAATAGATCTGATGACATCTTCTTGAACCTGATTAGTGGTGTTCTACAAGCGAAAGACGACAAAGCTCGTAGGGAAATGAAAGCATTGTTATCTAGATTGCTTAAAGAGAATGCATCCAATGACAGTAGCAGACTTGATGTTTCCAAAGATACACTTTATCATCTTTGTCACAAGTGCATCACTTCTCTTCTCCTTTGCCTATCCGAAGCAACCAGTGGTGATGAGAGGACAGATCGGGGAGTTATAATGAGCGACATAACTCGTGAAGCTGACAATATTCAGTGGATTCTTGACATTTTGATTGGAAGAAAGATGGGTGAGGAATTTGTGAAGATATGGGCTGAGCAAAAAGAACTCGCCACACTTCACTCCAAGGTTCCAACAGTTTACCGCCATGAGATCAGTAGAGTCACGGCACAACTGTGCATTGGCATTGGAAGGGGACACATACTGGTGCCAAAAGAAATTAGATTTTCCTTGTTGTCAACATGGCTAGAAGCTCTTTATGAAGATTTTGGATGGATGAAGAGAGCTTCTAGAGCCGTTGATAGGAAATTGGTTGAGGATGGACTAAGCCAAACTATATTGACACTTCCTTTACTCCAGCAACAGGCTGTGTTGCTGAATTGGTTTGATAGATTTCTTAATAAAGGAGATGACTGTCCTAATATTCAGAAGGCATTTGAGATTTGGTGGAGAAGAGCTTTCATCAGACAGTATTCAGCTGAGCCTGATAATTCCCAGTTGCAAATAACACTCTCTGATTACCACAGCTGAAAGGAATGCAAGGGACCCAAAAACAGAGACTAATTCACACTTGTAAATAAGAAGTGTCTGTGCCATTTTGCATTTTCACTTCTGCTTTGGCCTGATACGAGCAATTTGAATTTTCAATTTTGCCCATTTCCGTATTTGACCCAAAAGTAGATGAAAGTCATGTTATCTGGATTCTGCGAAAGCTTTTGCGGTGAAGATTGACATTGAAGGGTAGGAGAATCTGGGGGATTAAAAATTTGTAAAAGCATTTGTTCTTACTAAAGGATTGAATTGAAATGGTGTAAACTTTTTTGTTGTATCAGAAAAATAAATAAAATGATTTGAGAATGTGCCATTCACAAGAGAAATCTAAATGATAAGAGTCTGTATGAAGTGGTGGACAGTTTCACCAGGAGAAAGATACGTTAGAAAAAGAGGAGTGAATTCATTTTATTTTCTTTTAATCATCAACTCCGTGTATCTCTTTCCCACTGTGGGATACAAAATTAGATGCTCACTTTAATATAAAAGACTAGAGAGTGTTTCCAAAGCTGCAATTTTGTTTTGTTGTTTGTTATTTACCTCGTTACATGATATGGCAGAAAAAATATCAGGAAAGTTAAAAAGAAAAGGTTAAAACTAGCTGCCCCGACTCAAAACGAGCACGTTGAAAGAAAAACCTTGAATATGTAACGTAAGTTTAAAGGAATCAAGAAAAATATGGACATCAAATAGATGAAGTTTCATTATTACTAGTTTAATTAGGATATTTTTAGGAAAAGTTGCAAGTTAAAAGAGAGCAAACACGACAATCATATTTGTTTAACTTAGAAACAAAACAAGCTAGCTCTTACAAACTTGCATGTTCCTCTACCCAACATATTTCTTGATTTATCCTATTCATTATATGATAGACTTCGCGAAATTCAAAAAATGCAGTGAAATCTTATATTCTGTAGGATGACCTTTTCTACACAAATTAATTTAACAGTGAAGGGCATTTTGCTGGTCTAAATACCTTCAAATGATCGACTCTTGTGCCTATCCTCATTTTTTCTTGTTTTGTCTAGCATAAAGAACCCTCCGCTCTATCAGAACATGATCCTCTCCTATGGCTATATCATAACTGTAGTGTGAAGCAGTTCCATCATTCCCCTTCTAATAAACGTAAATTTGAGTTTTCTTTTTGAATGGATGAAGATTTGTGCAGTTGATATTTCAACTGTAGATGATCCGATTCCAGCATCTATCACATCGAAATGTTAGGTTTCAAGACTTTTGATTTCAAGATTATGGATGATAGGTTTCAGCTTTATGTAGCAACAAAACTATCATGGAGGTGTTCAAAATTTACGATGAAGTTTGGTCAAAGGATTAACTTAAAAATAAAAAACTAACAAGCAATTATATCTTCATTTTTTATGCCATTAATTTAATGTTGAAAAAAAAAATTAATGTACTCCTATTGATTTATATACAACTCCCAATTCATTCAGCCAGGGATTTACAAAACGCTGAAATTCAAAATATTGCTAAATAAAGATATTGGCTTGAAGATTCAAAATTAATACTTGGTTGAAACCAATGCTTCCTTCCCCTTCAGTTGTGCTTCAGCTCTATGTTGATGGCTAAAGATCATTTGGACGCCAGGAAATCTCATTTCATGCATGCATCTCAAAGCAAAGAAGGACTCTGAAATTCCTGGCAAATGCACATCCATGAGTATATTTCCCAACTTAAGCTGACATCATTCATTGCACTCCGACCAGGATGATCCACATTTTTGCTGCTAATATACAATTTCAAATTCAAGATAGAATAGGACGGGCTCCATGAGGCAACTCCGGAAGATCCAACCTAAGAAAGAGACAAGAGGCATTAGCTAAAGTCTGTTGTAAGGATCAAAATTCTAAATCAAGTAAAAGCGTATATAATGTGGTGACATACAAAAGTTGTTCAGAAAAGGAAGAAACAGGGGAGTATTGCTGAATAAAGTCCATATTATGAGTTATATATGTGCGGATACTTCATCTATCCCACAACTATTTATAAAATAAAAATTTAATAAGTTTCACATCTTAATGAAAATGCATAATACAATTTAGATAAATAATGAAACAGAAAATATAATCTTATAGTCAACATTTATTCATATTTTAAAAGTATGTTATACATTAAAAAAATGAAGTTAATGAATGAAATGTAAATTCAATTTAAAATATATAAATTTATAAACTCAATCTACATGCAGAAAATATAGTTTAATGATTAGATTTATGAGATTTAGTATTTGTAAATCTTAGAATTTAGGCTCAGATTAGAACGGCTCAAACCTTATAAAAATTTTGTTTATTATATTTTTAATCAATGTATGATCAAGAACAAACATTTGGAGCATGGTGAAATGCAAGTAAGCAAATAATAGAGCTAGAACAGACTCTAATACCAATTTAGAGTGATAGAGCCTATCAACTCTTATTGTTGAGCTACTTGCAAATGTCTAGTAAACTTCACATTCTAGATAACTAGTCTTGACGGTGAAGGAAGGTGTGCTCGGATGTATTACATTGGTTATAAATATGGCCATAATAAAATTGAAACCCAGAAAAATGTGGATAGTAGAAACGCAAACTCATGAACCTTAACCAGCACCAGGATCAGATACCATGTTAAGTGTTTGTGAATGACACACCTCTAACAACGGTAAATTTGATTTATATGATTTTAATTTTATTTTGGCCCAGGCCTTTGAGAATTTCTGGAAGGGCTCCTCCTTCTGGTGGTTGAAGTCCTGTGAAAAAAAAAAAAAAATTGATACCTCCAAAATTGACTCGAATCTAAAAAATTCCAATGTTTTTGATACCAAATATTTAATGTGATTTTGGAGTTGCCAGTGGCTTTCTTTACCCGACAGAATTGTTATATGATTATCCTAGTCAGAGATTTGCATGTATGATATAGTATGTGATAATGTAAAAATTAACACGTCAACACTGTTAAATTCAAAAATAACATAGTAACTGTCAAAAAATTAGCATATTTATTAAATATTTTATATAATTGTTAGGGCCGAAAAATTATGTGGGGTACATGAAATTGATTCTTTTAATAAGCTGCAACATACATTCATGAGCATGGAGGGTGTGGCAATGTGTTGGTTCTATTATTGGTGCCAAGATAACTCTGATTTAGATTGAGAATCATTTTCAACAGCTTTGGTAATAAGATTCAAAGATACCTATGGTAGCAACATCTTTAAAAGATTGACTACCTTGAAGCAAGAAGAGCAAATTGATATTAAAACATGCAACAAAATAATGGAGACTTCCACAGTGTTCTTGAAAGTGAATGGAGAGGGTGATCCACATTTGATTGGGCAAGAAAAAAATAGAATGGAGGGAAGTGGGACAAAATGCATTGCAGAGGAGGCTAGTTCTTGGACAAGAAAGGTGGAATTACCCATGTTTGATGGAAGCATACAGGGGAACTCATTCAGAGAGTGGTAGTTTTGAGAGTGATGATGATTCATTTCTATTCTTGAAATCAGAAAATAGAAGTAAAGAAGAAGGCTCATTAATCAAGTATCAGACCCTTGATAGCGAAGATGAAACAAAAAAATGAACAAAAATTAGCAAGAGAAGCAAAGATTATGTCGGAGGAAAATGTTGCTACATCAATAAAGACTACGAAGATCATGGGCTGTGAAAATCAGTTTCTTGACAACCCAATTATTGAGTTAATGAAAAAGGAAGTAGAAGGTGGAGATGCAACCAAACATTGTTTTTTTCCAAATTCAGATTTCCATATTATGAATCATGAATCATTGTTGGACTCAAATTTGACAGTGAAGGTGTTGAAACAACAATGGCATTAGAATTTGGGAATTTTAATTTGCTTGGTGATCCCATAACATTAAATTTCAATGCCTTTATGAATCCACAACTTGGCAATGGAGTCAATACAGAAGGAAGGTTCAAAAGCTGTTATACAAAATTCACCCTCATTTCCACCACCACCCAAGCCATCAGACCTAAATTTGAATGCAGTAGCCACTGGTTCTCATTCCTGTAGCAAAAAAGGCATCACATGCAAACAGGAAGGGCAAATGAAGATTATGGTAATGAAGATGAGCAATGGGATCAAGCTTCTACTATTACAACCTTGAGGACAAGGTTGATTTTTAGGTGGGATGTATTGTTAGGGTATAAGGGGAAGGAGAATTTAGTCAGATAGTCAGCATATTAATGAATTAGTTAGTTGCTTGAGTTGTTATTTAGATATAAATAGGGTAAGAAGGATAGGTGAAGGGGGTTCATATATTTTTTGTAAATTGAGCATTAGTTGTTTGTGAAAAGAGAAATCTTTTGTGAAGGGTAAACCCTTGGAGGAGAGTACACTCCTATTTTTTGTTCTTTTCATTCTATTCAATAAAGAAACTTTCTTTTCTTTTTCTATTTAATTCTTAGTTCCTAACAGATACTATATATCAGCCCATGCTGATAGAAGGCTGACTACAAAGGCTGCCAAATCAGCTAAGGTCTTGATGTGAGCATGACCTATGACAAGGGTTAGAGCAAGAGAAGCAAATGAAGCTCTTCAACAAGTATGGTTGGTTGACCAAATTGTGTTTTGAATTAATCAATTAATGAACTTTAGTTTGGTTTTATTGCAAGTTGTAATAAGGGCCCAATTGGAAATTTAGTTATCAGTCTTTGAGAGACCAAGAGGGTGTATAGCTGATTGACTTTTGAATGCCACAATTTCAGTTACAATCAGCCATTAAGTAGTTTTCAATTCTTAGGTTAATAAATCATTATTAGCATTTATTTTTCTTTAGTGAATCTTTGTAACTCTAATGACAAAACTTCTTTATAAGCTGAACCATTTTTATCATAAATAACAAGTTGAGTTTTATTTTTAGAAATATTAGAGTTTATCTCTTTTATCTTAGTGAGTGTGATTCTCCTAAGTTCTTGAGTGATTTAAGAACACTTGGTTGTATCAAAGGACTTTCACATCCTTTGTGAGTTGCCTTCCTTGGAAAGAGTGATTATTTCCTTCTATCTTATCACTAAATTCTTAAATTTCTTACAAGGTTTTAACCCTAAAGATCTTAAATCACCCTTTTTGATTCACATCAGGTCTACTAGAGACTTCAAAATACAATTAAGCAGGTACCTGTCAGGTAGATCTACCACAGATGTAGGTGTTTGTTAGTAAGAACAGTCTCAGTACACAAAACTGTTTTTGTGAACAGTTAATTAGATTCCTAACTTGTAGCAAAAGCTTATAGTACAATATAAATATTGTATCAACTCTCTGAAGTAAACAGGTTGAAATTTTCACTTTGGTTTCTTTCATTTGTTCTTCAATATTCTGTCTGTCACATACATAAAAAATGGTACAAGAGTTTGGCTTCTAACATTACTCTTCCACACTCAGACATGGCAACGGGGTGGGACGGGGGCAGATTTTGCCTCCACAATCCCCGTCCCCAACTTTTTTAACCGTCCCCATCCCCGCCCCGATCCTTGTTGGGGTTAGAAATTAAGTTCTCATCCCAGTCTCCGCTGGGTTTCGGGTTCTCGCCTCCGCCCAGTCGTCCCCGATCTATATTATTTTTAAAAAGATAATTACATTTATAATAAATTAATTTTACTATCTATTTTTTATATATAAATAAATATTTATAATTTATAATAATTATTAATTAAATATACATTTTAATTTATTATATTTATATTAAAATATGTATTTTAAAAAAATATTTAACCATTTTTTATTTATAACATTATTATCATTATTATTATTATTATTATTATTATTATTATTATTATTATAACATTATATTCAAATATTTGAATACTTATAACATTATTATTATTATAATTATGTATTCAAACATTTGATTATATATATAAGTTAATTTATTTTTAAGTTGTCATTTAAAAATATAAAATATATAGTTTATAAGGAAATATTTAATAAGCTAATTCTTATTTAATTAGTTTGAAGTAATAAAAGTTTAAATTATCAATTCCTTTTAATCCTTTAAAATACAATTATTTTATTAAGATAAAATTTGATATATGATAAATAAGAATAATAAGATAAAAAAAATATGTCATAATAAAACCTAATAAATATAAATTATAAATAAAATAATATTAGTTACTACTAAAATTTATGTAAAATACTTAAAAAAAGATAAAGAAAAAAATTAACTTTGTGTTCATCAAATTGGTTGAAAAGATTGAAAAAAAATAAAAATTGATGGGAGAGATTAAGGAAATGTGAAAAAGCTGAAAAGTAAGAGAGAGAATAATATAATAAATTAATTGATATAAAAGATTAAAAAAGACAACACAATTAAAAAGTGGGTAAAAGAAAAATAAAAATTGATAAAATATAAAAAAATGACCTTATATGTAATAGAAAAAGAAAATAAAATACTTATAAAATATTAATATTTTAAAATTTAAATTTAAATATAAAGTCGGGACGGGGACGGAATCGGAGTAGGGATTGTATTACCCATCCTCATTCCCGCGCCCGACTTTTTAAAGTGCGAAAAACCCGAACCCGCCCCCGGTCAACTTGGGTTTTCCCCGTCAAACTCGGGGCGAGGACGGGTTGGTCCCCACGGGTACGGGTTTAATTATCATCCCTATCCACACCGGATTTGCTGTTACCTGGTCATGATGAGCAAAATTTCAAGCCATTGCCATCTATACGAGCAGTGCCACTGGCATAGCACCAGCCTAAGGCCCTTTCAAACCCTCTCAATTCAATTTTCCACCCAATTAAACAATCCTGTTTAGGCGCAGCAAATCAATTGGCTTGCGTATGCACATTGAGTAAAAGCTCAGGTGTGATTAAGCAACAATATTTCTGGTCAACACTAATATGTGTCTGATGTTCACTTGAGAAACTCTTTGGTCTAAATTCCCAACCTCAAAAAGGCATATAATATGCATCCAAACATCTATATAAATAGGATTGAAGGACCATGAGTCATAAAGAAGAACAGGATGAACTAACCCTTCTAGCAGTAATTTGAACTTTTCAGCCTTGGTGGTTTTATCTTCTTTGCTGATAACAACTCGATCAGCAGTTTTAATTCCCTGCAATTAAGAAATAACAGTTAAACATGTTTTCCCATCTAATTATCTGGAGATAAATACAAAACTATAAAATCACACAAAGCAAGCATAATATTTCCTTCATTAGGTATCATTCATAAAGTCAAAAGAAAATACCTTTACTACAAGTGTTGGAAGCAAATTTTTGAGATAGTGAAGTTGAAAATGCAATTTGCTTCTATCAGCATCTTGGGGAACAACTCGAAGCTTTTTAATATCTAAAATCTTTATGTGCTGCATATCAAGAAAAACTTTGAATATTGTAGCCATAAAAGGAAAAGAGATCCATAATAACAAGATTAACTCTTCACCTCTGGCTTCAGTTTCGTCTTCTTAATTTGTAAAATTGATTCTTTTACAATATTAGCATCTATATTTAGATGTGCATCCTGGATTCTTTCCATGTCAAGGGTGATATCAACTCACGCTAATCTTGAAGTCATGACAACAAAAGGCCTGACAGTGCTTTCAGTGAGTTACGAAACATAACATTACTTGAAAAAGCCATCTCCTAATGCTAATCATTCTGAAATTGTGTCATCCATATGTGTATGTCATATAAGTAGTAATTATATGTCAATTTAAATGAGATAAAACAAGAGATGTGCTGAGAACTACGGAAAAAACAAAATCCAGAGAGCAAGAACATATGAAACAAATGAAACATTTGTATACCTTACAAATGCACTTCAGTATTTCCACAATGATACCTAAACATCCAACATTGAGAACAGGAAGGGCGAGGTTTAAGTATCCTTAGTGCCCTGGACAATCATGAAAGTTCCCGTGGCATGTAGCACAGACAAGACTCTTATTAGCAGGACCCTGAAATACACAAGAAAAGGAATCGATGTTTTAGCATTTTGTGCATGTAATATCAAAAACACGAGCACTAGGGGGGAACATATACATATATATGATCAAACAAATTGAAAGTGCAAACAAGAAATATCATCAAAGTACAACTAACTATTACAGAAACCTGACTTCTTCTAAAAAAGGTTCTGCTGACATCTCTTCTTATATAGCCTTAAAGGCAAGACTTCTTAACAAGCAAAAACAATAACATAGACTTTTGGTTGATCACTAATCAATATTCAAGAAAATGTGGGAAATAACATCAGCAAAGAGAAGAGACAAAAAAAATACAAATGTGCATCCAAAAACAAACTGTATCTCTACAGAGACATTATTTTAAATCCAAACTACACATTAAAATTTAAGACCTAATACGTAGGATTCCTGCAATTCCCATAAATTTCAAGGGCAAAACACTAAAACGTGCAAACAGAAAAAATAAAATACCGATGGAAAAAATTTAGTTCAGTTTAAGAAGAAATTCGTACTATATACATTATGTGTGTATCTCTTCCTTGTGAAACAAGAAAGAGTGCAGGGGAACCAGACTAACTATCAAAGAAATTTTGAAAATAAGAACAGAATTATCCAAGCAAGCAAGATAAATCAAACATATAAATTATAAATGAAAATTATGTCTGAAAACAATTTAAAAATTAAAACATCAACATTGAACAGAGTTTTAAAAAGTGTGTGAAAGGGAATTAAAAGGGTACCATGCGAGGATCCAACAAGCCACCATGAATAGGCTTCTTAAAGGAATCATAGTAGGAACCTTTCCACACTTGAACTTCACCAAGTTTGCTTATTTCCGATTCTGATAACATGGAGAACTTCATGTTCTTTCTGCAATAAAGAAAGAATAAAGTAACAACTTGTTTCAGATGAATCAAATATACAGTGTGATGGTAAGAGAGCAGCCCCAATTAAATGCTCACATCTTACGAGGCCCCGCATCCTCCATAAACGGTTCCTTAGTAAAGGTTATGCCCTCAGTTCTCCCCCTATTCATCTCTTCTAGTTTTGCTGAGAAGAGCGTATGAGAAGGCACCGAAGAACAGAGGAGTCTAATGCTCCCTCCGAACTCTCTGTCCGGCGCGCCGTGCTGCATCTTCGCTGAAGGCGCGGCGGTGCTGGTGGACGCCAGGAGCGAAGCCTTAATCTTAACAAAATTACACTATCTTAAAAAAAAAAAAGTAAATTAAACTAAATAACTTTTATTAAAAACTACAATAGACAATCTTTTTAGTTCAATTTTTTAAACCCATTGAAAAATATTTTAATGAATGAATTAAATTATTACGAGAGTTAAAAATAATTATTAACTTTTTATTTTTTAAATAATCAAGTACTCTTAAATGTGTTTTTTATCAGTAAAGTTAAATATAAGTTATAAAACTTATTTGTTAATTTTTTTATTTGACTACATTATTAACATTTATTTATAGTAATAATATTGTTATGAATATTGCTATATCCATGTGATATTTTGACATTTATAAAATTATAATATTTTTAAATAATTATATAAATAAAAATTTATATTTGAATAAAATTTTAAAACTAATTATTCTCCTAAAATAAGAAAATGTTTATTTTTTTCATTTTGAGACTTATTTCAATCTCTTTACCTAAATAGATATAATTATCATCATGAGATTTATTTTATGACTAGCCATTTCCAAAAAAAATTAAGTATTATTGTATATTTTATCTAAAAATATCTATACAAATAAAATAAAAGAATAAATATAGGTAATTTTATCTTATTAGTATCCAATATAATTTAGGTAAAAAAATAATTTTAAATGTAAAGATTAAACAAAATAACAACTTCAAAATAAAATTTAATCTTATATTTAAAAGATAATTAATTTTAAAATAAAAATCATAATAATCAATGATATTAAAATAAAATAAGTTGATATTAATATAAATCTGGATGAGTTACATGTCCCTCGTTTTAAATTTTTATCTATATTTTATTAGATAAATTAAAAAATATATTATATTTATATATTAAAATAATTAATAATAATCAACAATTTAAACATTAATATTTATATTTTAAATTATAATAAAAATATAATATTTGTAATTATAATATTTTTTATTTTAATATATAAATTATTTTTTAGAGCACACATGCGGGTCAACACACCTTATCTCGCCTTTTATCCGCTCAGTTAGCATGTGAGCATATTAGATGAAAGAGGTCAAAATCAGACTAATAAATTAAAATTACCAAGTTCACCCATCAAACCTAACTTGTTTGGCTATCTCTACCTTACTTTAATAATTGTATATAATATAGTAAAATGGGACTATTGAACTTATATATTTTTCTTTTTCTTTCTACTTCTTTCTTCTTCGCTTACCTTTGTCTTCTCCTCTCTCTCTTTTTTTTTTTTTTTTTTCTTCTTCTTTCTTTTCCCTTTTTTTACACCCATATATCTCCTTTCATACTTAAATTTTCATTTTTTTTAATTTATTTTAATTACACATTAAATGCTTGTAATTATAAACTTAAGATTTTTTTCAAAGAAAATTTATCTCTTCTTGCATGAGCACATAAGTTAACCTTATTATTTTTTTATTAATTAATAATTTTTTTAATAAATATTTTTATTTTTTTAAATAATAATTTACATAATAATAATATTAATGAATATTTATTTATTTTTAATAAAATTTAACAATAATAATAATTTTTAATAAATTGGCCTTTTATTATAACAATATTTAAATTATATAAAAATATTATAATTTAATACATTGTGTTTGAAAAAATTTTCATAATAAATTTAAGGTGTTACATTTCTCTCTTAGTTATGGAAATTTCATCATCAAAAATTTTATTGACTAAAACATACTAAGGTAACTTTCTTTTCCAATTCTCATGTAGCAAAGTGATTTTATTCCAAACAAACTTTCACTAATGAAATTTGTCTTCCCCTCAACTATTTGATCTTTATATACATAACCTATATAAGTATTGTTTCAAATATAAGATTATTATTTAATTATATTATACCATGCCTTATTACATGTGAAGCATCATAATTATATTTACTTAATTAAGACACGTGAGGGTTAGAAAAAAAAAAAAAAAAAAGGAGATAAAGATATTTGATAAGCAACATGTCTTATTTTTTTAAGAACTTGATAAAGATCAATAAATCGGGGAGAAAGTTTCTTTAATTTCATTACTCTATCATTTCTAGTTGTTAGCATAACTTTCAATAATACATTATCACCTTCTTAGAATTCAAGGAGTCGTCTTTTCTTATTATCATAACTTTTTCTCTATTTTAAGTTGCTCTCATTTTTTCCCTAATCATCATAGTTTGTTATAATATATCATTTACACTTAATTATATCTAAGGATTGTAACATTTCTATTGGTTTCTAGTGTTCTATCTTAGTTTTTTGACATACAAACATGATCTTACACATTGTGCTATTTTCTTCTTCATCTTGGACCTCCAAAACATTTTCTTAAGATCTTGATACATTTTTGTTGTGTTTGGATGTATGCTGAATTTGTTCATATGTGCTTCTTCTAAAATCATCCTCTTAATACATCATTGGGCACACATATCCTATAATTAAATCTCAACATCCCTTCCCTATAAGTGTCAAAAATTTCCCTATTTTTTTGTCATAATAACTTTTTTTTCTTTTGAATGAATTCATCACTTACTTGAGCTTCATGGATTTGCCTTTGTGAGTCACAAGTAAACTAAATTGAGTTTAATTTTATTCTATCATAGCTTAATGAATTGACAAATTCATGTCTTTAAATTTTTCTAGCAAAATCATCTCTTGAATCATCAATGAGGAGATATGTAAAGATTTTAAGCTTAAAGTGTTTTTCACAATATTTGTCTTTCCTGAGTGATAATGTAATTCAAAATCATAATCTTTTAAAAATTTCATTCATCTTCTTTCTCTCTCATATTTAACCATTTTTTATCAAACAATTATTTAAGACTCTTGTCATTACTAAAAACCTTGAACTTACAACCATTCACATAATGTCTCCATATTTTGAGTTCAAAAACAATGACATCTAGTTCTAGGTCATGGATTGGTTAATTTCTATAATGTTCTCTTAATTTCCTATAAGCATATGTTGCTACCCTTCTATCTTGCATAAGAACGCATCTAATCCCATTTCGGAAGCATAACAAAATATCATAAAGTGTTCAATCTTATTAATGCTCACACAGGGGAAGTGGTTAATATTTTCTTAAGCTCTTAAAAACTATTCTCACATTTTTCTATCTAGTCAAAAGCTTGACCTTTATTGGTTATTTAATTAAAAGGCATAGTTAATGAATTTTTTATAATATCCTGCCACCAAGAAAACTACGAATCTCAGTCACTATTATTTTATGGATTATATTGTAGAATTGTTTCTACTTTAGTTTGATTCATTAACACTAAGTCTTTGGAAATCATGTGTCTAACTTTACTTCCTTTAACTAAAATTTACACTTAAGTCATTTGACATACAATTATTTGTCTTTCAAATTTGAAGAATAGTTTGAATGTGTTCCTCATAGTTCTCAAGAGTCTTAGAATAAATAAGAATTTTATATATAGAAACAACAACAAAAAATGGTTGAAAAATTATGTTCATATAATCCATAAATTTGGTAAGAGCATTGATCACACCAAAAGACATAATTTGATATTCATTATGAACATACCTAGTTTTAAATGTAGTTTTCAGTATGTCTTCTGTCTTTACTCTAATGTGATGATATTCTAACCTTAAATCTATTTTAAAAGACACGAAAACTTCTCTTAATTGATCCATCAAAAAATCTATTTTAGGAAGAAGATATTTATTCTTTATGATCAATTTATTTAACTAAGGATAATCTAGACACAACCAAAAACTTTCATCTTTCTTCTTAATTAATAAAATAGGAGCTCCCCAAGTTGAGATACACTAGGATAAATAATTTCAAATAACTCTTTCAATTATTTCTCCAGTTATGTTAGTTCAAAGGGTTACATCCTATATAGTGCTATAGAAATTGGTCTAGTTCCAGACATCAAATCTCTTGAAAATTCAATCTTTCAGTTGGAGGATAAACTAGGAATATCATTAGGAAAGATAATAAAAGATATCCATGAGATTTATACTTTAAAAGGTTCATTTACTAAGTTGGTAGATGAATTCAAAGATCCTCATAATTTAAAAATATTATAGATTTTTCTACAGGAGGACTTGGTTGAAACTAGTTTATACCTAAGAATACATTTAATTGAGATAGATGTAGACAAACTAAATTTACAAGGATTTCATATTTTTAATTAACAGAGGATAATCTAGACAAACGTTATTGGTAATTACAAATTTACTTGTGGGAGTTAAAACAATCAAACTAGTGTCTAAAAAGGATGTTGACAATTCAAGATATTCAACAAATCATTATTTTGAGTGATTTCAGCTCTAGTCATGGTATATACTTTCCTTATTGTAGTAAATCTTGTTTTGGGTGTAGAAGGATTATGATGTGGTATTTGTTATCGATATTCAAAAAATACATGATCAGATTTTCCACACTTAAAATAGACAAGTCCTTAAAAATGACAATCTTTAGCATAATGATCTTGTCCATACTTAAAATACCTAAGTTGATTATTTATATGTTTATTAGAATTTAATGAAGAAAATTAATTGAGTTGAGATCTCCATTTGAGGCAGTTATAGAGTTTTCCCTCATTTTCTCTCATTTTATTTGGTTCGGGTCCAAAATATTTTGGTTTATTATTTTGACTATTTTAAAAAACTCTTCAAATATCTACACTTATGAAGAAGCATAGGAAAATAAAAAATATATAATATTCCTATTGTTTTTCTCAATTCAGGCTTAAGTCCATTATCAAATTTTATACACTTCGTCATCTCATCTGGGTGGTAAAAGAAAGTCGAATATTTTTTATCGGCATATTCTCCTACTGTCATACTCTCTTGTTTTAATTGCACAAAGTTAATTTATTTGGCCTTCCTCACATTATTGGGAAAAATTTTTCTAAAAATTGTACTCTAAATACTTTCCAGGTAATGATTATCCTCCATCCTTCCAGTAATCTCCTACTACTACTATCCTACCAATATTTTGTCTCTCCTATAAACATAAACACAACATAATTTACCGTTTGGTTGTCAAAATAATTCATAACTTCAAATATTTTATCTGTTTCCTTAATCTATAATTCAACTTTTTCAGGATTATAACCTCTAGAGAATTGTGGAGGTTTGTTTCTATAGGATTTAATTAAACCTTATAATTTATCTGTTCTTTTAAGCCTTTGATTTCTTAATAATATAGAGGTCATGTCTCTAATAGCTTATTTTTCTTCTGTTGACTCATTATTCCTCTTTTTATTTGTCATGTGAAATTATATGAGTATTCATAAAATCTCGTGATGAACTCATTTCAAAGGTCTAACATGAAACATTGTTCTAATATCATTATAATATGACATCCTTTTTTCTTATTATTTTAACATATATATATATATATATATATATATATATGATAAATTCAAAGTTTTACATAAAATAAATTTAATTAAGAAAATAAAATTATTTATATTGATATTATTTAAAAAGTTCTCATATTTTGATATAAAAAAGATAAAAATATTTCGTATACAATCTTGTTTTTTAATATTATATTTATAAAGTGATTGATTTAAAATAAAATTAATTAAAAAATATTATTTTATTAATGAGAAGTTGTTGAATAAACGTTGGAAAGTGGATTACTAATTTATCTTTAGAAAATAAAATAAAATCAAAGGGACATATTTGTTTTATAAAAAAAAATGAGAGAGAAGATATAGAATAAATAACATAACATAAAAAAACAGTTAGAAAAAATCATCTCATGTCATAAATATTTAAAAAAAATTAAAATTAAAATTAAAGAACCCCCACCCGCTTTCACTTTCTCACTCAAAGTATTCATTGTTAAATGAAGAGCAAAAGTTATTTTTTTATTTGTTTTTTATTATCTATTGTTACATATTTGTACGTGTTTAGTTGAATGCACTTGAGAAAAAGTGAGACACGTTTTTCTGTAATTCTGAATTGCATAGATTACAATGATGAGAATATTTGTTTTATTCTTTAACCAATATTAAATAATTTCTTCCGTGGTCTACAAATCTTGTCATAGAGAGTGTTGGGCTTTTGATTGGGCTATGTTATATCTTTTGAGACATGTGATTGTGGGCCCATTTTCTTGATTTAATTGATATTGGCTACGTTCATTGCCCACAAAAAGAACAGATTTGTTGATGAAAGTGGGATAAATTAAGGATTGAGACACTTTGCCTTGCAAGACAATTTAGGTTAAGGATTGCCGTGTACTCCCGACCAAACCAAAAACAAGGGCTCCTCTATTTTTGAAACACTGGCCCTTCTATTGTTTTTATCCTCCATCTTTTCTTTTCCTATATATCTTTGTTTGTCATCACCTACCTACCTACCTACTATATATAAAGCTCATCAAATTAAGCAATGCATCATCTGTAACAATCTTTGAACTGAATATTTTCTTCAGAAAATGAAGTTTCCCATGGCCATATTCACTCTTAAACCTTTCTTCTTCATCTTCATATTACTCACATCAACCCATGCTGGAACAACCTCCGTCCCAAGTTCAAACCTATTCCGAGAATATATAGGAGCCGAGTTCAACAACGTTAAATTTTCTGATGTCCCCGTTAACCCAAGTGTCGAATTCCACTTCATTCTCTCTTTTGCCATCGACTATGACACTTCATCATCCCCCTCTCCCACCAACGGAAACTTCAACATCTTTTGGGACACCAACAACCTTAACCCTACCCAGGTTTCCGCCATCAAGACCAAAAACTCAAACGTCAAAGTAGCCCTTAGTCTTGGTGGAGACAGCGTCGGAGGTGGCTCTGCTTTCTTCAATCCCTCTTCAATCGATTCTTGGGTTTCCAATGCAGTTTCTTCACTGACAACCATAATCAAAGATTACAACTTGGATGGAATCGACATCGACTACGAGCACTTCCAAACGGACCCTGAAACCTTCTCCGAGTGTGTGGGGAGGTTAATCAAGACGCTGAAATCCAATGGGGTCATAAAATTTGCCTCGATTGCTCCTTTTGATGATGATCAGGTTCAAAGCCACTACTTGGCCTTGTGGAAGAGTTATGGGAGCCTCATAGACTATGTTAACTTTCAGTTTTATGCATATGACAAGGGCACTAGTGTGGCACAGTTCATTGATTACTTCAACACGCAAAGTTCAAATTACGATGGTGGAAAGGTATTGGTGAGTTTCAGTACTGATGGGAGTGGTGGGTTGGCCCCGAATGATGGGTTCTTTGCAGCATGTCACACGCTAAAGAGTCAGCAAAAACTTCATGGTATCTTTGTTTGGTCTGCTGATGACTCCATGGGAAATGGTTTTCGCTATGAGAAGCAATCACAAGCCCTTTTAGCTTTACCCTAGTAAATTAAATTAGGTTAAAATGGATAACAAATTTACTATGTATTTATATATATATGTGCGTGTGTGTGGATATATGTGTATCATATGATCTAAATCTTTTATCTTATTCTTACTTCTTAATGTAATCCAATTTTATTGTAGCTACTTGTGGGTTAGTTTCAACTTTAAAAGTGAAAATTAAATTATTTTAATAAATTTCTTCAAATGATAAATTTAAATAAGGGTATACCATTGTTTATTTTTATAAGTAATCAACAAGGTAATTTAAAGATGGAATTTTAGAAGATAAGAAGAAAACTTGCCCTTAGAAATTAAGATGCTCAACCTTAATGGTACCATAAAAAAAATCATTAAACGAAAAAAATTATATATATATATATATATATATATATATATATATAATTTCAAGAGGAGAATATATTTTTCATTCAATATTTATAAAAAATATTTGGTGCTTAGTTATAATTAAATATTTTGTCTAGCTTTCATACCATACAAATTACTCTAATAAATTTTTAATCTATATCATTAAAGAAATAGATAATTTAATGTCAGGTAAATCATTGAGTGATTTTAATGTAGAAAGTTCGATTTCACGATAACTAATTACATAATTACATATATGTATAACTAAAATTATCAAATTCGTTAAGTTGTTTCTTAATATTTTGGATATATATGTCGATAAGTTGTTTATACAAATGTTTCTAGAAGATACTTAAATCCGAACATGTGAAATATATTAAAAATATATTTTATCCCAATTTTAAATTTCTATACTAAATATATAATATAAAAAGTGACGTGATGAAACAATCTTTTAGATAATTCATCCTAATTGCGAAGGTTAAAAGTAGGAGAACACTGCGCTTGCACATGAATCCTCAAACCAAATAAGCTTTAAGCCCAATAGCTTTTTCAACAAGCCCAGTTTTATTTTTTTTATGGTTATTATTGTATTTTTATTTCTTCTATTATGATTAATGTGTTATGCTAATCTTTCAGTCAACTAATAAATTTAATCTATTAAGTTTATTAAAACTTTTTGTTGTCATATTTTATGTACGTGTTTTCATATATACATAGACATATACTTAGTATCAACTCTCTAATCATATGTTTAAATATACCATTAAATACTAATTATATTGCACCACTATATTAGTATTTTAATTTTTTTATTTTTTAATAAATTATTTTTAATAGATGTTTTCTAGCCATCTTTCCCTAAAAAATCATAATTTGAACTAGTAAAGCAAATTAAAAAAAAAATTACTAGATAAAGAAATCCGACTTCACTTTAATTATTTTATAAATGTTTATCCTTTTCAAAACATTAACTCACGCTATAGAGATAATTTAAATTTAAGCCAAATTTTAAACTTTTATTCTTTTGATCAATTTTATTACATATTAGTCTTAAGCTCCTAAGGGAAAAAATTATGGAATCAGGATTTTTTTTTAAGAAAACAATGACAATAATAATTATCAATAATAAGATATGAAAAATTAAGAAATCAAATGTTTAAATAATTAAGCTTAATTAGATTGAAAAATATAGTTAATTATTACTATGTTTTATTTGATCAACTTCTAAATAAGGTTGATATATAATTATTTAGTTATAGATGACAAATCTTTTCCTTATTTTTTTCGTATAATTAAAAATATACTTATCAAGTGGATAGAGTTGTTAAAACAAACGGTTCAGTCTAATCATGGTCTTACGAGTTAAATAAAAAAAATTGATGATCTACCTTAACCTATATTTTAAAATAGGTCAAAAATTTTAGCTTATGGACCAATTTTAAACTTATTAAAAATAAAAATAATATTATATTCATATAAAAATAATTTATCCAATAAAAAGTAAAAATATATTTTAAAAATTTAAGTTACATTAGTGAAATTAATTTTTATTATGAATATAATGATTCGATAAATAAATTATAAAAGGAGAGATTCATTCTTTCCGAGGATAAAAGCTAGAAACTTACACTTCATGTTTTTTTTTTAAGTAATCTAACTATATAAAGTAAAATATATTTTTTAACTGCATTGTTCCTTAAATTAATTTATATATATATATATATATATTAAAAATAATTATTATTTTATAAAATGGATTGATTTATAAGTTTAGAAACTTGCTAGACCTAAACTTATATAGGTCATAGGTTAAATGGGTTGGGCAAAATTTGGCTTGATTTATTGGGTAGCAAATTTTTTTGTCAAGTCTAATTTATTTTTTGAATCTTTTGAGTTTAACCAGATAAATTTATTTTGATACCCTTAATTGAAAAATAATAATTTAGTCATATAGTTTCTATCACTAACATGTAAGTTTTTAAATAGTAATAAAAAAATCTGAAATGAATTTCAAAACTAGTCAATTAGACACATTTATCTTATAGGGTAAAAAAACCCGAAACTTATGTAAATTGGTTACTTTTTAAAAATTCACAAATTTAGGTAACACAATTAATATATATGACATTACTTTACAATGAGAAAGCATTAATGCACATAATAATCGAAATCATCATATAACATGTATGTTATGGTTGCATCTACCACTTCAAAATTTATTTGCCTTAGTGTCATGATTTCAACCAAAAGATTCAGTATTACACTTTTATTGCTCAAACTCAGTATTGCATTTTTATTACTCAAACTCAAATGGAGAAGGTAAAAATGTGATTCTTTGTTATTTTAATTCATTGTCTTTTAATATTACATCTAATTGATTATTATTTTTGTCAATTTTGTGGTTTTTTAATAACATCTGACAATGAACCTATTACTCAAAATATTATTGAAGATTTTACTGATTAATAACTTTATATCTTATATGCTAAATTGAAAGCTCTTCCTTCAATAACATAATAAAAATTATTTTCTTATTGAAAAAGGAGGATCATTCTTGCCACATCCTAATGAAAGAGTTGCTACCATCTCCCATGGGCATAAAAGATGGATTTTGAAAAGCATACCTCCTGTGGAAAGGTCAAAAGCATCTAAGTGAACTTCGAGCACCTTTTTGAAGTTTGGCAAGACTAGAATAGGATCTTACCTCACAACAATAGAAGAAAATTGTTTTTCAGTTGGTCCAATATATGATAATGATGATGAGAGTACAATTTTGTTATGAGTCTAAATATGATAAATATATTGTTCATTGTATAAATTATGACAACAAGTATTAATAGAAATTTCGTATTTTATTTATTAAAATTTATAAAGGTTAAGAAAATTAAAGTTCATCTTACCATCAAAAATATGTCTTTAAATCATCAAAAATTATATTTAAATCATCAAAAATTATATTTTACCATGATGTTAATATTATTTATAAATCACATATGTCTTTCCTTTTGTTAAAACTTTGATTGTAAAAATAAAAGATCGAAATGGTCATATGATCACTAAAAAAAGCATGGATAGCACAATAAAAAATGTTTACCATGACATTTAAAGATTAGGAAGAATCATATAATGATCTTCTATAGTAGCTGCAAACTATTGAAAAAAAATAATTTGAGCACAATTATTCAGTATATTAGTTCTCCTTATTTGTTGAATGGTGTGCATAGTACATCATATATATGAAGGCATATATTTTGGTCTTTTAAGTCATACATAATTGATGACAAATTTTTAACATGAAGTTGTCATGCAACCCTATTGATGACAACTTTACAAGATGACAATCAAAACATATTTTCACTTGTATTTGCAATTGTTGAAAGTGAGTTTAAAAAGCTTTTAGTATGGTTGTTCTAACTTCTAAGACATTATGTTACAATTCAAGACAATTTATGCATGATAACATACCAAGGGATAAAAGAATATTGTCAGTCTTACAATATGAAGATCTTGATTAGAATTGTTTAATATTTTCTCAAACTTCAACAAAAAAAATTCTAAAGATGTTCAATTGAAAAATCAAGTCATCAACTTAAGTAACATGTTCTAATCTTAACAAATATTATTTTTACTAAGCACATTTATTAACATATTTTTTTTAAATGATATGAAATGAAACAACCAACACTGTAAAATTATATAATATAAGGTCCGAGTTTCAACAAGAAATGTATAGATTAAATGAAATTCCATTGGAAACACTACTACAACTAACTTATTTTATAACGGTTAAAAAATGATATAATGATGAGCTTTGAATTATCGTTGTTACGACTATCATTAAAAATTAATAAATTAACGATGATTTTAAACTGTCATTATAAAGTACCCATATGATAATAATTTATTTATAATCTCCATCGTGTATCAGAACCCTCATTTGGCTTCGTCATAACAAACATAGAAGTTCTTCCCTAGCAAATCTAGAAACTCTACCATGACAAACCTACAAGCTAAGTAGTAAACTTAGAAACTCTATCACAACAAATAACAAACCTACAAGTTGAGTAACAAACCTATAAGCTCTGTCACATCAAAACTATAAACTTTCACTGTTCTCTCATTATTGTTTCACTATAACAAATTTGCAAGTTTTCAATATTTTCTTGTTATTACTCTTTTGACACAACTTTAATCTGTTTAAAAAAATATTATCCTCTACTTTCACTTCATTTCACTATTGTTCTCCCTTAAGCAACTTTGAGTGTGTTGGAGATATTCATGATAGAGAGAAACACTTTGAGAAGGAGAGAAGGAGAGAAAGAGGATGAGAAAAAAGAGAAGAGTCGAATATGATGAACAAGGGAGAAGAGAGAGTTGCAACGGAGGAGAATAGAAAAAAAAAGAATAAGAAAAGAAAAATGAGGGCATGAATATATAAAATAAATGAAATTAAAAAGTTTAACGAAACATATGACAATAATTTTATGTATAATCGTTATTGTATAATCGTCGTTGTATGTGATATATGACGATAGTTATAAAAGAATTATAATTATCTTTTGTCTATTTTGTATCAGTGAAAAATGATCAAAATATATGATAAAGGCAAGAGATATGATTATTTTATTCTCAAATACAATTCTTACCTATTTGTATATTGATTAAAATTACGTTTGAAAAAACTAAATTTTTATTTATTAGAATAAGATATGAAAACATAATACATAAATAAGTATATGTATATTACTCCATGTTAAAGATCAATCAAATCTATAATTAAATTAAATCAATAATAGTATAACTATGTAAAATTTGAAATTATAAGACTTTCTTATCATGATGTTATTATTGTCTGGTTCTACTATCATTTATAAATTTACACATTTTCGATCTAGTATACATGTTAAAAAATATCTATAAGATTTATGAGTTTTAATTTCTTCCGATTTAAAATAAAAATTATTGATTTATATGTATAAATTCAAATTTCTTTCTTGATATGAAAAAAAAAACTCAAAAAAAAACTTACAATTAGTCACATTTGAAATGAAATAGAGTTGTAATGGCGTGAAGTTACGTTTGTCGTTATTATGAATGGTACTTGTGAATCGTGAGACATGAATAGGGTGGTTGTTTGTGAGAATGACAGCACTAGCAACTTAAGAAGCACGTAGACGCTGCACGCAGCGATCCGTAGCAGCAGCAAAGTGTGCTTGTGAATGGTGGTCATTTTAGCGTTCCGTGTCAGCCAAGGCCCTTTTTGACTCAACATTCCACAACGGTGTCGTATGAGTGGTTAACTAGTGCCTAACTGTCTTGTTGAGAAGATTGAGTTGACCCACACTAACCCCCATTTCATTAGCCAAAAAGCCTATTAATTTGGGCAGGTTTAGGTTTTTCCTTTGTTTGTTTCCATGAATGAATGAATCATGAATCTGCACTTACCACACCAAAACCACGTAATGCTTGTCACTCCGTTCCTATCATCTATCGCACTTTGCTCGTTGTAATCATTTGTCAACCGTCCACCCAATATCAATACACACTCTACTATTCCATCTTGCTTCCCACTTCAATCAATGCCTAATATACACAAAATATCATCATAATCACACATCAACGTTACTCTCTTTCATGCCTATCTACCTCATCGTACTGCTCTTTCTTCAATTCTATATACAACCTCTTCTTTTCATGCATATTTCTTCTTTAAACTTTCCATGGCTACTTGTTCAAGCTTCACACAACAGAGTTGGATCCATCACTACACTAACCTTTTGCTACAACTCCAATCCAGACACGTTTCAAACAAACTCCACATATGGGGAACATTGAAAACCTTTATTCACAATGATGCACCATGCATGCGCACAGTACACGCCATTATGTATGCGTGTGTGCAGTGTTATTTTTATAACCTTTCATACCACCTCTTAAGCTTATATTTCATCTCCTCCAAGTTTACCACACAAGATTTGAGCAATATTACTTGGAGGTAATTCTTTGAAACAATAGTCATTATGCAATCAAATGCCAAATACGTGTACTCGATACCATCATGTTTAGAAAATCATAACGACACACCGACCCTTACCTTTTTTTTTTTCTCTCTGAAAAAAGTGGACATTATTTTTCCTTCTTGATTATGTTCAACAAGACGCGAGAAATTTCCCATTCTCGCCACTTCAAATTTTAAGTCGTCTTCCACCAAAAGAAAATGGTATGCTTTATACACACATTACCCCACATATATATATATATATATATACCGTTCTTGTCATCTAATTGTTGCTGGTCTCATAATCAACACTCTAATTCTGTTTACTTTATTAACTCTGGTGTGGAGTGATGTGAATCAATACTGTGCACTAACATTTTCAAACTTTGGAGTAATATTTCCAAAAAAGACAGTAAAGTATAATTTATTTTACGATAACAAGAAGATTCTATAAACTATTAAAACCTTATAACTAGTTGACTTTAGAAACATTTAGTAGAATCTTTTCATAAATATTCATAAAAAAGAGTTAGTAAGTTTCAAAAATAATGGTACTGCATTTGTTTCTCACTGGTTTTTTCCTATGTTGTTGGTGATTATATTTTATGTTTAGTGTAAAATCACATAAAAATGAATCCTTAATTGCACAAGAAATTTACGTTTAACGTGTGGAACTATATGAAAAGTTGATTAATTGGTGATTTAAAGGTGATGAGATACTATTATACAACTGCATACAGGGAAGAAAGTCAAAGAATGAATGATAGTAGTGGAGAAACTGTGTCTTGTTGAAAAGAGGGCACAAACCTCTGCAAAGAACTTCGTTGGGCCATGTCAAGTTTTCGTTGTCTTCTCCATATTGGCAAGAGTTCAACTTTCCACGTAAGCAGAGACCCCACTCCATTCCTTGGTTGCAAAAGTTCAACTTTCCATATAAGCATAACCCCACTCCACTTCCTCAACTGAAACACACCACATGATTGCATGCTACGTTTTTCTCTTGCATTATTAATTTTACCTAGCTACCACATCCTCAAGATTCTTTCTTCAATATTTATACGAGTGATCATGAGTTTCAACAGCATATCAAACATGCACAAGTTTAACATCAATGATAACAAGCTAAAACGGCACAGTTTGTGAGTGGAGAGAATCATGAACCGAGCTGAATTCAGGTCATTGTTCGTGGAAAGTGGAAAATATTAGACACTAAGATCTCTATTCCTTTCATGCTCTTTTAACATATTAGAACAATTATGGGACGAGTTTCGGATTATTCTAACTCTACTATAAATATATAGAGGTTGAATAATTGTGATGGGAAAAGAAAGGGTGAATAAGAACAAAATGAAGTAAAATTTAGATGAAAGGAAAAGTGAGTGCATGTTTACTATTTTTTTAAAATATACACATTTAATGTTGTTTAAAGTGAATTAGAAAAGTACTACGTTTTGTATTATATGTAATAGTTTTTATATGGGATTAGATTTTGAGGTTAATTCTATCAATTGTTTTGGTGATGAACACTTCAATATAGTAAATTGTCATTTCACTTCTTCAAATCATGTTTTTGTTTTTGTCTTCTTTTTCTTGTGTGCGTGTCTTCTTTCCTCATTAATCGAAAAACAGTATTAATAAAATATGTATCTAAAGCATTTCTCCATTTGTTTTAATCTTTCAGTTATATTGCTAGCTAGTAAGTAATTAGCTCTTAAAAATGGTTAATTAGGTCTCAAAACGTAGAACTTTCGTAACCTAATGTTAAATTAATTGAGGCCATATAGTATATTATAATATTGTAAGTCAAAATTGACCCTTATACAATTATATGTTAGTATTATAAGTATACAACTATGTTGGTAGTACAAGTTGGAGTGTTTGGGATGCCGATTGATTCCATTTTGTAATAAATCAAATTAAATTAATATTTTATTTTTTGATTTAGATAGTTATTGTAATTTTATTATTATCAAATTATTAAACATATAATAATAAAATATATATTCAATAAATAAATATATTATAAAAATATCATATATAATTAATTATAATATTCATAGTTTTAATTTATTTTCATACATTTTCATATTTAATTTTTAAAAAATAATAATACATCGTAAATTATAAAAAAATAATTAATTCAATTTCTCATTTTATATTTTAATTTCTCTGATATATATATATATATATATATATATATATATTAATTGGGTTTAAATAATTATTTAAATTAAAAACCAAATAGAATAGATTATTTTAAAATTTTATAATTAAAAAATCTAAAAAAAAAACTCTATTTTAATTGATTTTAAATTTTTTATTAATTTTCAATTTTATTTTTAAATTGATTTTTTTGTAAACTAGCTCTATTATACGCTATATACTTTGATTCTATCTTAGATATTTTACATTGTTCAAGTCAAATGTGTTTGGTTATTAATCTTTCTACCTCATTTCAATAGGGTTGTTTTTTAAAGGTTTGAGACATGGCTTTATTAACACGCGCAAGTCAAATTGGGCTATGTGTTGGCGTGTCATAAAGTCAACTTCCTTTTTGACTCATGAAACTATCCAACGATTTGAATACATCTTCAATATTTTTATTACCTTATATGTTTATGTAGGTTTTAATAAGACTCAGTTAATTAAGTTATTAAAAATTTCAAAATATTAATTTATTTTTATAATATTAAATTCGTTTCAATTATATGTTTTTCTTAATTTATTCCAAATATTAGGTACATATACTTTCATTAAGTAATTTCAGTGTTAATTATTTCAGTCTCGTATCATTATTACATTTATTTATTTTTATTTTTATTTTTATTGACTATAAATGTGAATGGTAAAGATAAGATTTTAAAATGTTTCTTATACTAATACAAACTTAGATTTTGAAAGAGTCTATTATATCGAAAGACATGTTCCTATCAATTATAAAATTTCAAATTAAATAACGAAACAAATTGTTTTAAGATCATTTAATAGACAAATTATAATATATTGTATTTATTATTTATTTAAATTAACTCATAATTAATATTTTTTATGAAAAAATAACTAATAAAAAATATTCAAGATTAATTTTATTGAAAAATAACAAGTCAAACATTTTACTAATTTGATTCAAAGAAGAATGAGGAAATACATTCGTGTCGTTGTATTTTTGTTTTTTTTTCATTAAAAAAATTGTCAACCAGTAGCATCGAAACCTAGTGTTGTGGAGTTTTGTCTTAGCAATCTCTTTTGGCATGGTTTCAATCATATGTGATATTTTTTTCACTTTGTACAATTGAGGTAAAAGGGTAAGAAGATAATATGAACTTTACCCTAATTTGCGTGATTTTCACGTCCATTAATCTTGCATGGAGCAACATCTTTTCAATCAATTTCTAATAACATCCATCACTTTATAATAAAAAATCCAAATCATTCGTTGAAATGTCATCTTCACATGCAAAACCGAGCCTGTGGGTTTCAGGTTTACATGTGCTTTGCCAAAGGAAAAAAAATTCATCAAGTAATTACTACAAAATATGTTTTTAATCTCGTTACATTAAAGTTAAAACTGAGGCTACATTAAATATAATTTTAATATAGATTGGTTAAAAATCAATGTAAAATATGTTCTCGGATGAACCGATGTGGAAAATCTTTTATTAACACATTTAATTTCGGTTCCCGGATGAATCAACATAGAAAAGTGTTTTTATTTATTTTCATCCAAAAATTCACTTAAGTTAGAGAATTATCATCTGGCAGGATTCAAACCAAATATTTTAAAGTTGAAAAACTGATACTCTAATCACTAAATTACTATAATTTTCCGATAATAATTTATAAATAAATTATATTTATATACAAATAAATATATATCCGTGTAAATATATAAATATAAAAATATATAAATACAAATATATTTTGATATATATATATATATATATTTATATAGTTATATATTTATATGTTGGATGTAAGGACGCGTTCGAGTGTGAAAGTAATATTGACTCTCGTTTGAGTGTAAATAACGTCATTGAAGGCCTTCCAGAAATAGAGGGGTTGTAAATAACGTATAAAAAAGAGGGAGACTTCTAGATAAATAGAGGAGTTGTAAATAACGTCATTGAAGGTCTTCCAGAACTGACGTGGAAAGCATAGAGGGGTTGTAAATAACATATAAAAAAGAGGGAAGACTTAGATAAATAGAGGGGTTGTAAATAACGTCATTGAAGGCCTTCCAGAACTGACGTGGAAAGTCTTATCTGTAATAGTGCGTGTAGGTGGAAAACCTTATCTGTAATATTGCATGTAGGTGCAATGTGGTATAATATAAAAGAGAGGAAAGACTTCTAGATAAATAGAAGGATTATAAATAACATCGTCTGATACAACGTTATTGGTTATAGAACCGCTGTTGAAGACCTTCCATAATTGATGCGAAAAGTATTATCTATAAGTACAATATGGGGACAACAAGTGGGTTAGTGTAACATGGAACCTACAAATGCAACAACAAATTAACACTGTCTGAGGTTTTTACAATTGGCTCACTCAGCCAGCCATTAGTTGCATTCAATTTGTAAGTCTTGGTGGAAACAATTTTAGCATTTTTCTTTTCTTTTTTGTTTCAACGATACGCATGCTAAATTTTGGGTTTTGACATGGATTCTTTTGGACCTACCTTGAAGATGCTCCCCACCCACTCTTGATTCCTTGTACACATGTTAATGAAATTGAGGAGATTAAAAGAAAAAGAAAAAGAAAAATCAAAACATCATAATTGTTTTTTATAGTTGTAATAAGATACGAAACACGAAATTTAACCTATAGCCCAAACTATACTAGAGTTTCAGATTTCAGAGGTTTCGTTACAATTTCAGCACAATCTATTTGGGTTACAGCAATAAAAATAGGGAAATGGAGATCTCATGTCATAAATTCTTCAAGATTTATATGTGTGCCAAGTAAATTTTTTAGAGAATTAACTTCAAAATAATTTATCATCAACATTTTTGAGATATTAGGAAATTGAAATATTCGACGTCTTGTAGGAGATCGAGATATTCGATCCCTCTAGTAGATATATAATCGATAAAATAAATATAAATATCTTATGATTATATTGTAGTTAATAAAATGTTATCTATATTTAATATTTTTTTATTTCATATTAATTATATTACTTCTTATTATTTATTTATATAGTTTAGAGATTATCCTATAAAATTCCATCCGCTCTTTAAATTTATATAAGAACAATATTAAACAGAAAATAATTTTGACATAAATTTTTCTATTTTAATTATTATATCCCTAATTATCAAATATATATTGTTTATAATATATACTGTTGCTTAAAAAAGAAAAATCCGTACGTAAAATAATTTTAATGGAGATACATTAAGATTGAATGAAAAAGTATGAGTTAAACTGTTATAAAATTATAAATGGTTGAATTCATTTAAACTTATTTTCGATTAAGCTAGTTTCATAAGGATAAATAATGTTCATAAATAATATAAACTGTAGAAATGAATATTTGAATTTCAGTAAATTGTCGTTAATACGGTAAACTTGTTCTAATACTCACTTAGTAAATATTCAAATTCAATCAACTCCTTTTTAACACATGCATTAAACAAAGATTGAAAATGTACACCTCTCTTAATACACAAGTAGTCTACATAAATTTCTGTTGCATAAATAAATTACTATTTCATAGTAGAACTCGAATTCACACGTGGATTATATATATATATATATATATATATATATATATATATATATATATATATATATATATATATATATATTACTCTAAATAAAAACCTATGCACTTGCTTGTTATTATTTTTAAAAGTTTTAACTTGACATATAGTTGGAGTAAATGTTGAATTATATATAAAAACATTTTTAACATAAATTGTTAAATCGTTACTTAAAACAAACTATTGGTATCTTACAAAATTATATTAGAGTTTATATA